CATGTTTGAATATGCAACCCTCCCATGAGAAATACTAGGTGCATGCGGAAAACCGCCCCCAGCTAAATCGAGCTGCATAGGAACACACAAGCCCACATGTACACTGCTCCACCATCCACCAGCTTCCGTGGCACACACGTGCTATGAGCTACACCCCTCCACATCTGGCGTTACTGCTGTCCCCCGGGGTTTCAGAAAACCTCTTCCTCCACCTCTCAGTAACTCACAAGTTGGCGTTCATAACCAAACTTCAGGTCTGATTCAAAGTAAGAATGCCGTATTTATTGCCGTGTTTATATATTTCTTAATCCTCTAATGCAGCGGTTCTCAACCTGTGGGTCGCGACCCCTTTGGCGGTCGAAAGACCCTTTCACAGGGGTCGCCTAAGACCATCCTGCATATCAGATATTTACATTATGATTCATAACAGTAGCAACATTACAGTTATGAAGTAGCAACGAAAATAATCTTATGGTTGGATCACAACATGAGGAACTGTATGTAAAGGGCCAGAAGGTTGAGAACCACTGCTCTAACGTGTAAAACTGTGCTACCGTTTCCACTTAGTGGCGAATGAATTTTTTAAATTAGCAATGCTGCTTTATTTGAATTACAATAGAATATACTTGATAATTTTCAAAAACACAATTTCCAAATCTAAAAGCAAGTTTTTTGTTTGTTCTTTTCATCTTTATTGTTGAAAGAATTACATATGTCCCCCATTTTCCCCCATGGGCTCCCTCCAGCCCACCCCTGTCCCCCACCACAGGTCTTTATCAACCATGAATTTTTTTAATCCTTACCCAAGGATATGTCCATTGATTTTCAGAGAGAGAGGAAAAGAGAAAGAGAGAGAGAGCTGTGAGAGGAACATTGGTCAGTTGCCTCCTGTACACACCCCGACCAGGGATCAAACCCACAACCCAGGTATGTGCCGTGACAGGGAATCGAACCGGCAACCTTTAGGTGTACAGGAGGACGCTCCAACCAACTGAACCATACGGACCAGGGTTGGTGAATTGATTTTTATTTTTATGTGTCACTGACAACGTTTGTAAATGTTATATCCCTAGCTCTATTTTTCCCACTTGCACAACTTTGCATAGTTTGTGATTTTTTAGGAACGAATATGTCACGTTACAGGAAAATGACTGAATATGTAAAACACTTGAGCTCATGGTAACAGGCAATACATGTCAGCTGCTGTTCCTGTTATTATAACAACAATCATCGTTGAACCTCTGGTGTTTGAGTAACACTTGCCGGTTTTTTCAAAGCTCTTACCCAATTATAAACTCACTTCTCTCCTCCTGCTCCCCTGGTAGATGGTTTTTCCAATGATACATAAACGAAAATGCAAATCCAAGAGGTTAAAAAATTTGCCCAAGCCCTAACCGATTTGGCTCAGTGGATAGAGCGTCGGCCTGCGGACTGAAAGGTCCCAGGTTCGATTCCAGTCAAGGGCATGTACCTTGGTTGCGGCCACATCCCCAGTAGGGAGTGTGCAGGAGGCAGCTGATCGATGTTTCTCTCTCGTCGATGTTTCTAACTCTCTATCCCTCTCCCTTCCTCTCTGTAAAAAATCAATAAAATATATTTTTTTAAAAAGAAATATGCCCCAGATCACACAACCAAGTCCCAATAAATAAAGGCCTGTTCCTTGCCTTCAGATTTCTTAAGAAAACACACACACAAAAAACCCCAAAATCCAAACATTATAAAACAAAGTGTATCTATGTAAGAGTGTGGCCATTCAGGAGTCAAAGGGGATAGGAGGGAGGGCACTTGATCATGAAAGAATCCCTGAAGAAATACATTGGGGCTCTGGAGAGAAAGTGGGCAGAAGGAAAGAACCCCAGGTTGAAGACAAATCGGTGACTAGCAGGGTCTCAGGCTCAGATGCCCGCCTGGGCCAGGCCGAGCAATAGCAGGAAAGGGTGAGGTGCTCCAGGTGTCACAGAGGGATCTACGGTGCACAGGCCCCACCCAGGGGCCTCTGTGAGCCCTGAGCAATCCCTGCCACTCCACAGGCGTGGATACCACATCGGATTTGTAACAGAAGCAGGAAGTTTCTGTGATTTTCTAGGTTTTCAAAAAATTTTTGTAGTCAGTATTTTGGGTTTTTTTAAATAAATTTTTGTTGATTTCACAGAAGAAAGGAAAGAGCGAGAGAGAGATGGAAACATCAATGATGAGAGAGAATCATGGATTGGCTGCCTCCTGCGTGCCCCACACTGAGGATGGAGCCCACAACTCAGGCACGCGCCCTGACCGGGAATCAAACGGTGACCTCCTGGTTCATAGGTTGACGCTCCAACACTGAGCCACGCCGGCCGGGCTGTAGTCAGTTTTTTAAACACCAGCAACTCATTGGGACATTTTAAAACACTTTTTGGGCTAAAGTAACACATCTACGGGCCCCACATGGCCCGGGGGGCTGCCAGTATCCAACCTCTGGTGAGCTAAAAGGTGACGCTCGCTCAGGGGTGGGGCCCCAAGCAAAGAAGTCTGAACACTGATGGACACAAAATATCGACGCTCGCTGGGGGGTGGAGGGGGGCAAGCAAAGAAGTCTGAACACTGATGGACACAAAATATGTTATTTATTGTCAATTTCTGCAAAGACACATTTAAGCAACAAAATATACATTTGTCAACCTTTTAGAATTTGTTTTATACATTAACAAATACAATGTGCTACCATAGCAATAAATTAAATGTACACTATTTACATGACATAGGCAGTCAGGGTCCACAAGTCCCTCCCCCCGCCCCCCCACGAAGAGGGAAGGAAGTCACCACCACGTGGGTCCTCAGGTCCACGCTGCACCCCGTGGGCTCTGCGCCCGGAGGAGGCGCTCACACGTGTGGAAGGGGCGCGCATGACAGGGAGCGCTGGCGCACATGCGAAGGAGCGGGGAGGGGTGGGGGGGCCCGAGCCTTCCAAGCGGAAATGTCACAAGATCAAAGACAATAGCGTTGAAGTTCCAGTCTTCCCGCCAAACACCCTCTCCCCGGGGCTGGTAAGGCACAGAGCAGAGCCGCTGCCCCAGCACCTCACTAGGCAGGGCTCCCCGTCCTTGGCCCTGCTGGGGGCTGTCTCCTTCCCTCCCCAGGGGCCCCGGGCCCAGCAAAAAGGGGGGACCCATGGGTTTGGGTGGGGCAAGGGGCTCGTGATGAAACAGGTATCAGAGCTTATAGAGAATGCCACAACCGCCCCTGGCAGGCTGCAGGGCAGGCTGGGCAAACCCCACTGACCCACCCTCGCCCTTGAGGGAGGGGTAGCCAGAGGCTGGGAGGAGCCGTGGGGTCCTGAGCGGCCAGGTCCCTGCCAGACACCTGCAGCCCTAAGATCTGCCTGAACCCCAACCATCCCCCCACCACAGACCTGCCGCAGGCGCCTCACGACTGAATGAAGAAGGTAGTGTTTGCGTTGGCACCTTAAACCATCAGGGCGAGAAACCCAAACAAGGCTCCCTCCGGACCCGCCTGGTCCCCTGTGTCTACATTTTCACTAACCACCGTGCTTTAAGGATCAGGGAGAATCAAAGCGTTTTCTTTTACACTTTTCTTAACTTAAAAAGGGGAAACTGAGGGTCGGATCACTGCGTCTACGCCCTGGCCTCCACGCCCCTCACACACCGGAGCTGAAGGGCCGATGTCACTGAGGAACAAGCCACTGAAATCTCTTTGCCACCCCGTCTTCGGGGCCCAGAGCTGCACCCAGAGCCCCAGGGCCCTCGCTGAAAAGTCCCAGAGGATATCCCTCCCGATGAACAGCCACCAGCACCTTGGGCGGCTCCCACCTCCCAGCCGGTGCCCAGACCCCAGCTCACCGGCTTCCACAACTCGGGGCCCAGCACACGCAGCCACTTGCTGAGCCAGCCGCGCAGGCGGTGCCGAGGAAGGGCCCCGGCTGCGTGTTCTCCGCCCAGCTTTGCCGCTGGCCGGTGATGTGACCTCAAGCAAGTCATGCCCCCCTCTCGGGGGCTGAGGCTTCTCCCCTGGACGGTGGCCTGGCTGCATTCGATGCTCAAAGAAGCCCGGGAAGCGCTGACAGCAAGATGCTCCTGACAAGGCTGAACCACAGAATTGTTTTCCAGAAACACCGTGTTCCATTCGTGTCAGAAACTCCAGCTGAGACCTCTCAGAAGCTCTTCTTGCCGTTTTTAAGCATCATCTGAGCAGAGGCACGTGGGTGCCTACAGAACCGACAGGCAGTTCTTCTGTGAGTCAGGCAGTCCCCGCAGCCAGAGGCGAGAGCGAGCGGGAAACACATCTCCTGTGTCCGGGGGGCCACACACAGGGCCCCTCGGCTGCCGTTTTTAAGCATCATCTGAGCAGAGGCACCTGGGTGCCTACAGAACCGATAGGCAGTTCTGTGAGTCAGGCAGTCCCCGCAGCCAGAGGCGCGAGCGAGCGGGGAACACTTCTCCTGTGTCCGGGGGGCCACACACAGGGCCCCTCGGGTACCAGCGTGAGCACCATCGGGACAAGTCTAGTTGCAAGGACCCAGGAGGCTTCAGCACATCTATGAGCCCCAAGACTGGGCGCAGCAATAAAAGGAAAGACATCCCAGGCCAGAGCAGATGCAAGGAGACTGTCCAGGCACATGAGCTGCCTGCCCCGTGGCCCGGAGGGCGGGGGGTGGGGGGGGCGCCGCGGGTCCTGCTTCTCCTCTCCTCTCCTCTCCCCCTCGGCCCTGGCCTTGTACATTCTGGAAGCTACAGGATGGACTTGCTAAAGATGGTGATGCAGACACAGAGGGAGGGGCCTTTCAGATCCTTCCCAGGCATCCCCGTTAGCAGAGGGCAGACCCACTGCTCAGGCCTGCGATTCTTGGGGCAGACCTGTGCCTCTCGGTTTCGGGGACCCGCCCAGCCACCCTGGCCACGGGCTCAGAGGCAGGAACAAGTCCTTCCCCAGAGGCGGGGGCTGCAGGGGGATGTGGGGGGTGGGGGCAAG